TTTTAGTATGTTCACACGGTTGTGCAGCTACCACAGCTGACTGGTTCCAGAACGCTTTCATCATCTCACAAAAAACCTTGAGCTCATTAGCAGTCTGTGTCCACCCTCCCTCTTCCAGGCTTTGACTCCCCTAACCTGTCTCTGTGCACTTTCCTGTTCTGGACATTTCCACAAGTGGATCTGGCTTCTTCCACTGAGCAGGCTCGGCATTTCATCCCTTTCTACGGCTGAATACCATCCCCTTGCTCACACACGCTCCTTTTTGTTTATCCGTCCTCCGCCCCTTTGTGCAGAAGGCCCTGTGAGCTCCTGATCTCCCCGCGTGCTCTCCTTGTTTCCCATTTCCTTGATGGGACACCACCTCCGGGAGAGAGAAGGCCTTGCCTGGGGGCTCCTGGCTGCACCCGGTGCCGGCACAAGGGGGTGCCCAGCGAGCAGGGGTGTGCGTGCCCGTCACAGCGGCCGCCAGTGGGGTGGTAGCATCCGGGCTCCCGGATCTAAGCAGGCTGGTGGTGCCCCCTGCCGTGCCTCGAGGACCGCGCCCTCGAGCGGCCCCAGCCAACGGCCAGTGTTGCGGGGCAGTTGTGGGAACACCCGGTTCCTCACCCCTAGAGGGGCTTCTGGTTCGAGGTTCCCACTGGAACCGAGCCCTTTGCTATCAGCTGGGAATGTGCCTTCTATAGCTTCTTTCCTGTCCCTGACCTGCTTCTCCACTCGCATCTGGACAAACCACTCCAACTCCATGCCAGGGACTGCACCCCGGCCTCCCCTCAGGCCTTCACCACAACCCTGCGCTCCAGGCTTGGCCTTCAGCTCCACGTTCGCCTGCCCTTGCCCCTGCCCCACGGACCCTAAGCCCTCCACACCATCCCTCCCATGGCTGCCACCCCAGGCAATTCATTTCCCAACAGGACAGATGATCTGGGTCTCCCCGGATTCTTGTCGCTTGGGTCACGTGTGAGAGACCTGAAAATAGCAGGGGCAGCCTGGCCTGGGAAGGATCTGGTTTTTCCAGAGGGGGTTGTCCCCAGGGCACTGCGGAGGGGTTAGCTCACCAGCGACCCTGCAGATGGCCCCGGGCTCAGCTCTCCCGGGCTCTGGCCAGGCTTGGCAGCCCTGTGTCCCACCCACCGTGTGGCTGCGGACGGACCCGTGGCCCCTCTGAGCCTCCGTTTCCCCAAGCATACCAGGGAGGTAATTGCCGCCTTGTCCGCAGCAGTAGTCTTGGGACTGAAGAGTGACACGGGACTTGGGGATCCTTCGTGACCTTCAGACGCTGCTGTTTCTCACAGACGTGGAATACAAGGAAGTTGGGGGAAGAGTGGCAACGGGGACTGAGGCCCTGCTGTGTGTCCCTTCTCCCTGCACACCTGGGAGTCTGCACTGGCTCGTTAACCCCACGTTATGGGTGCGGAAACTGAGGCCCAGCAAGGCGCCACTGAGCTCACGAGGTCGGTGCTGTGGAGGGATACGAGGTCAGACTTGAACGAGCCGCTGAGCACCTTCGGTGTTCCTGGGTGCTGCCCAGGCCAGTCCTGCATGCTGTCCGTGCTCCGTAGGAGGGATGAGTGAACGGATGCATCAAAGCCACCTTTAGAAAGACTGATGTGGGCGCATGCTCACTGCCTGTGTGGCTAACGGGGAGCCCCGCCCCGTGGTGGGAGGTGGGCCGGAGGTAGCCAGGAAAGCAAGGAACATGACCCAGAAGCATCTAGAGCAGGCCCAGGGAGCCTGACCTGTGATGGAGGGTGTCTCCAGGCTGCAAGGACATTTGGGCCCCTCTTGGGATCTCCCCTACACCCCTGCAGCCTCACGATGAAGTTCCCATTAATCTCCCTGTGAAATCAGTTGGCTGACACCTTGCCCAAAGTCACAGAGCGCCCCCTCTACTCCCCGGCACGTGTTTGGGAACCGAGGGGACATTTCTGACATTCAAACCAAGTTTCAAGCCACCCCCGGTTGGGGGTCTTGGGAGAAAATGCTCTGTTGTTGGTGTAAGCCTCCAACAGTGGCCCTGGTGCGAGAGGCATGAAGCGATCCTTGGGCTGAGCCCGAGTCAGTGTCCCCACCAAGAGGACGCTTTCTCCACTGCAGCTTCCGGGGAGCACTGGCAACAAAGAGACATTGGAAACACAGCTGTGTGGTGGTGGGTGGGCTTTTCAATTCTGTGCATGGAGAGGGAGGAGGGAGAGAGGAGGCCGCTGTCCCCTGGTGAATCTCAGGTTTGTTTTCTTGCCTGGAGTTGGGCCGAGCACTCCCTTTCTCATCTACTCTGCACACTACCGGCTCTGACTTTGCCCTGGTGCCTCCTCGGGGTGGGTCTCGTTTTACAGTCCCAGCTGTGCCAGGGCCCAGCCCGGCCTTGCCCCAGACCTGGTGTGCTGTGGCCTGCCCACCTGGTACTCCTTCCTCTCCCACCTGGGGTTCCTGTGCTCAGGGACGGAGTGAATGGCTGGCCAGGGCTGTGTTCAGACATGGAGCTTCTAGCCCACTGGGTGAAGCCACCTCAGGAGGAAGGCCACCGCCCCCCAGCCCCCCGCCTTCATCCACCAGCGAGGGGCAGTGACAGCTGTCTTGGCTCACAAGATGGACGTGAGGACAGATAATTGTGGTGTGGGAGATGACCTTATGGGCACAGGAATTAATGTTAAAGCCTTGTCACCTATCGCAGCAGGCATCCTTAATTTTAGAGAGAGAGAGAGGGAGCATGAGAGTGAGGGGAGGGGCAGAGGGAGTGGGAGAGAATCTCCAAGCAGACTGCGCTGAGCCAGAGCCCAACTTGGGGCTTGCTCCCAGGTCCTCAAGACCACAACCCCAACTGAAGTCAAGAGTCAGTCACTTAACTGAGTGAGACAGCCAGGCACCCCCGCAGGCATCCGTCTAAGATGACCCCCACAGAGCCCCTCCCCTTGAAGGTGGGCTGACCCTGGCGACTCGCATCTCACCAGTGAACACAGCAAGGGTGAAGGGACTGGGCTGGACGGGATAGGACTTCTACCTTGTTTGTCCTCTCTCTCTCTCTCTGGCTTTTCTCTCTTGCCTGCTCTGATGAAGCTGGCTGCCCTGGCGTGAGCTGCCCTAGGGAGAGGACCATGTGGCAGGGAACCAAGGCTCTCAGTCCAACAGCTCCCGAGGAACTGAATCCAGCCGACAGCCACTGACTGAGCTTCGAGCCTCAAGATGGGTGCAGCCCTGACGGACCCCTCAACTGCAGCCTGCGGGAGGAGACCCAGTCTTGGAGGTCCCTGGCCAAGCTGCATTCAGGTTCCAGTCTAAGAAAAAGTGAGAGGTCACTCATGTTCTTTTAAACCAAGAAGTTTGGGGATTATTTGTTACGCAGCAGTAGATAACCAACACAAGTATTTATTTCAAAGGGCCTTAGAAAAAAAGCATAAGTGGCACATCGTTTGGGTTTGCAGACATTTATTGATTGATTGCAATGAAATTCAGGAAATGAGTAAATTTTAATCAACTGGAAGAAAACTTAAATAAAATAAAAAAATAAAAAATAATAGATAAAAGAGTGAATGGAGGGGGATGGACAATGACCAAATTTTGATAAGAATTAAGTTATTGATGGGACAATAATTTCAAGTCCTTTGTTCCTTTCCCACCTAAGGAGGATGTAATCTTTTTCTTAAAAAAATTTTTATTTTAAATAAAGATTTTATTTATTTGCCAGAGAGAGCAAGTGAGCGCACAAGCTCAAGCAAAGGGAGAGGCAGGCAGAAGGAGTAGCAGGCTCCCCGCTAAGCAAGGAGCCCGATGTGGGACTAGATCCCAGGACCCCGAGATCATGACCTGAGCTGAAGGCAGACGCTTAACCGACTGAGCCATCGATCAGCTTTCTTACTGATTTTTAAGAGCTCTGTGGGAGGTGGAATTTTGGTTCCTGGTACCTTCAACCTCCCAGCATCCTCCCAGCATCGCACGGGTGGTTAAGGTAGGGTAGCTGGCAAAAGGGATTTGCAGATGTAACCAAAGTTACTAATCAGCTGATCTTAAAATAAGAGTGTCCTGGGTAATCCAGTGCATCCAGTATACTCACAGGAGCCCTCACAGGGAAAGAGATGTGGCGGAGGGAGGAGCTGGAGAGGTTGGAAGCATCTGGCTGCCTTTTGAAGAGTCTCACTGGAGGCATGAGAGAGGTTCAGTGCGCCCTTGCTGGCTTTGATGACGGAAAGGGCCACGAGGGAAGGAATGTGGTGGTCTCCAGGAGCTGAGAATGACCCCTGGTCGACATCCAGCAAGAAACAGGGACCGCAGCCCTAGCCAGCCCACGAGTGAGCCTGGCCCTGACAACTTGACTTTGGCCTTGTGAGGCCCCGATGTGAGGACCCAGTCTAGCCGCTGGACTTCTGACCCCCGACACTGAGAGATGATACGTGGAGGGTGTTTTTGATAAATTTGCGGTAATGTGTTACTGCAGCAATGGAAAACAGCTGTTTATGTGCTAATGTTGGAAACACTTCACGTATATGTTGCAAATATCTTTTTTTCAAGTGTGTCAGTTGTCTTTTTAAACCTTACCCTTAATTATATTTTTTATTACCCATTACCAGAGGGTAAACTCAAGTTCCATTTTTGGGGGATGTCCTTTGGTCGTGAACCCCCTGTACCTAGTGCTTACAAGCAAAACACAGATTCCTGGGCTCTGTCCGGAGTTTCTGATTGAGCCGGGCGGGGAGGGCCCAGGAATCTGCCTTTCTAACCGGTGCCCAGGAGCTGCTGACGCGGGTGTCTGAGCAGGCGTTCCTCCCAGCCCCACCCAGTGTTTGGAACCCCTCCCTGCGGGTACGAAGCTGAGCCCCACCCCTTGGGAGGCAGGGCCCGGGGGAGCCCCGCCTCCGCACGGACCCTCTGTTCTTATTGGCTGGTAGAGAAGGGGCAGTCCCTAACGTCACAGCGCCGTCAGCTCCTCCTCCCGACCTCCAGGGGCGGGGCCTCCACGCCTGCGCGGTGGGGCTCGCGCTCGGCACCCGGCACTCCCCGCAGGGTTCGAGCGGCGCGAGCCGGTTCCATGGCGGACCCCCGAGCGGAGTCGGAGCCCCTTCTGAGCCGGGCCCGGGGCGACGGCGGCCGCGACTGCCCTGCGGGCTCAGCCTCTTGCCGCCCTGGTGAGCGGCTGCCTGGGAAGGGGAGCGGGGCGCGGGGGCGGCGCACGGGGTCCTGTCGGCTCCGCGCCGTTCGCCGTCGCCACTGCGGTCGCGCCCCACGGGCCAGGGTCCGAGCGGGCGCGGGGAGCGAGGGCAGCCGTGCTCCGGGGGACGGGGGCTGCGCCCTGCGGAGTAGCGGGCGCCCGGGCCGGCCACGCGCCGCAGGGTCGCGCCCTGCCTCCAACCAGCCGGCCCGAGAGGCGTCGCCTAGCCGGCCGGCCGCCCCCCGCAGCCCCATGCAGCCCCCTCGATGAACCTCGGGTGGACCCAGGCCTCGCTGATCGCCTTGGGGGCCCTAGGAGGCAGCACTTCCGTTTTCTTCCCGGTTATGATGGAAACTGAGGCACAGAGCGGGGCGTTCCCCTGCCCCAGCAAGGTCACACAGCCGGGAAGTGGCTGGGCTGGGGTTCGAGCCCTCCTGGAGGTAGACTGGGGAGATGTTTCGGTCTCCTCTCTCAGTCTCGGTGCTGGACTGTTCCCAGAGGCTGGTCCCCCTTCAGCTTGGGGTTCGTGGGTGGGGGCAGGCCTCCCCAGCCCAGCCCAGCCCAGGGCAGCTTCCTCCCTTTGCCCTCTGCAGCTCCCTCTTGCCCTTCCTGTTTACCAGCGGAGCTGCTCAATCCCGAGGCGAGGCGGGCTGCAGGCGGGAGGGAGGAGTCCATCTGTCTCCCGCAGAAGTCCGGCGTTGGGTGCTGGGTTAGGGATGGAAGGGCCTCAGCCTATTTTGCTGAGGAGAAAACCAAGGCTCAGAGCGTCTCTGGGACCTGTCCAAGGTCAGCGCTGGGCTGCCCTGGGGCTGCTGCTGGTGTCATGCTGGGTGTTCCTTCCAGAAGCACTTTCCTTTTCTGGCTTTTGTGCTTTCTCTGTCCTGGAGGGGCCCGTAGCGTGGGGGCCGGGAATGGCTGGCCTGCCCTCACCTCCCACGGGGGCTCTTAGGTGGGGCTCTGTGCACCGGGTGTTCGAGCCCTGCAGTCGGATTCTCCTCCTGACGGGTCGGGGCACTGTGCTGCTCGGTGCCCCGCAGGCCCTGCAGGCAGGTCCTTCTGACCCAGCCTCTCCTCATCCGCCCCAGGGGACAGTAGCTGTTTCCTCTTCTCATTCCTGGTCGGGGAGTCACCCTCTTTCTGGTCGTGGAGAAGTCAGAGGACGAGGGAGCGCCACACTGGAAGGGGCTTCTGGAGTAAAAGCATCGGGAGCTACAGCGGCCCATGCAGTCTGCACAGCCATCCGGTTGTGTCTGACCTGTGAGGGGGAACTGAGGCACAGAGGGGAGGCGGCCTGCCCAGAGTCATCAGGGAGCTCGTCGGGGCTCCAGGCAGGTCGTGCAGGGTGGAGCCTGGAACAGGAAGGAGGGGGGGCTCGGGGCAGAGAGACTGGCCCTGGGCTGCTGGGAGACAGAGTGTTTGAACCCCTGTTGTCCTCTGCTGTCTTCGGCAGACGTTCTGCCCTGACGCTCTGACCTGGTGTGCCCGCTGATCGCCGCTTAGGGGAAGTAGTCCTCCTGGTAGGGCCAACAGCCAGGAGCCAGGGCTTGGAGTCTTGGGAGAACTTGGCCTTGGCAGGGGCTTGGAGGGCTTAGGGTAAGGCTTCAGCAGGACGAGCGGTGGGTGGGTGAGGTGGGCGCTGTAGTGCCAGCTGGGGGCAGTGCGGACTTTGTCCAGGAGCACTGGGGACTTGTGGGAAGCTGTGACATGCTCACGACCGAGGGTTTGTGACAAGGTTCCTCTGGCCTGCTGCTGTCAGAGTGTGTGAAACAGGTAGGGAGGCCTTTCTGAGGTTTGGGGCCCTGAGGCCCAGGCCAGAGGTCTGGTGTGTGCGGGCAGTTCCCAGGGCGCTTGACACCCCTGGCCGGTTACGGCTTGCCTGGACGTGAGCCCCTTGAGCGGCACCCCGCGTCTGCGCCTAGAGTGAGCCCACAGGCTTTTCTTGTCTAAGACGCTTGTATGCTTAGATCTCTCCAGGTGGCGATCTCATCTTCTCATCTGGGGTTTGGGCAACTCCAGGCCCCTTTTGGGCCCTCAGACCACCCTGCCCTGTAGCCTCCCCTCAGGGCCATTCACTCACACCATAAAGAAACTTTGAGGACACTCTGTGCTGACCCCTGCATGGTCCTGGGCTCTGTGGGTACAGCAGGGAGCCGACCAGCGGGCCGTCTGATCCCAGTTCCCGGGATGCTGTCAGGGGAAGCAGGCAGTCCGCATCCTCACAGCCTCCCTGGGAAAACTTACAGGGCTCCTCAGGGTGAGCATGGAGGTTGTACATGGGGGGAAACTGAGGCATATAGAGGTGGGTGTTCGCTGTGATGGCAGAGCCAGGCTGGGGTCGTGCCTCCTACTTCTGTCCAGGGTCCCCTGTCTCCTTGATTGCCAACCCCCCCACCCCCCCCACCCCCACCAGGAGCCCTGAGGATGGGGGCAGCTGCTTCCCCGGGGGTGGGGGCGGAGTAGACGGTGGCCTGCCGCCTGCCCTGCATCTGGCTTTGGTAGCTCTGCTCTAGAGGCATGTCTGAAGCTGCTGCTCCCCATCCCGAGCTGCTGGCGCAGAAGGACCAGAGGTGACAGGAGGGTGTTCAACAGAAGCAGCCCCGCTTCCAAGCCCCGCCCTGGGGGCTGCTGGGGGCTGCGTGCCGGCTCCCCCTGACCTCACCCAGGGCCGGGGCTGCCTGGGCTGCACCCTCTCTCCTGGACCGCAGGCCATGGGGTTCCTCTGTTGCAGACGTGGCACTTGGCCGTGAGCGGTGGCTGGATCTCAAGGCTGCAAGGACTGACCTAGCAGCCTTTGGCTCCTTGATGGGCTGGGGGTGGGGATGCTGGGATGAGGCTTCAAGCCGCCCAACTTGTCCCAAAGGCCTCTCGTAGTTGGGAGCCTGTGGGGGCCCCTGTGGGGCACATCCATCCTCCTGTGCCCTGATACCCCCCGGCCGCTGGGGGGTGAAGACGGCAGGAGGGGGCCACAGTGGCCCGCTCACAGAGCACGCTCTGTGTGCTGGGCCAGGCCTGGGGCCGTGCCTGTGCAGACTTGCTGCAGGGCAAAAGGCATCTCACTGCAGACCCTGGGAAAAGAATGCCTGCAGGTTCTTTCCTCGGTCTCAGTGGTCCCATAGCAGGCGAGCATCCCGAGGTCCACGTTCTCACCCAGTGTGGCTTCTCTGCCCGCAGGTGCCGCGTCTTGGCGGGACCTCTGCTTTGACCAGGCTGCTGTCTTCATCGAAGATGCGATCCAGGTGGGCTCCACCTGCTCCCAGTGGCTGGGTCTGGGCTGGTCTCCAGGCGTTTGTGGGCACTGGGTGATGGCCGCCCTGCTGATCCCCTCCTTGCTGTCCTGGGGCAGGGGCCTTGGTGGCTGAACCATGTGGTCATCATAGCCGTGACAATGGGGCCTTTGGGGACGGGTCGCTTGGAATCCTCCCTAAAGCAGGTGGGCGCTAGGTCCTAGAATCGCTCACTTGTTTTGTTGAGTTCCCTCCTGCTGAGAGCCTGGCCTGTGCCTGCCTCTCCTGGGGCCTACGGAAGATGCCCAGGGATGGTCAGACCATGTCCCCTGCTGGAAAACAACATCCAGGCTCGATTCGGGAGATGGGATATGGAAGGGGCCATGTGGGGGGCTAGGCCGGGGGGCAGCCTGGAGAGTGACACAGCGGGGGGGCTTGCAGAGCAGAGTGGGGACCCTCACAGGCAGGCAGTGGGCGCAGTTGTATGTTAGGAAGTGGGTGTCCGGGCGGGGCCGTGGGGCTTCGGGTGCCCTGTGGGGTCACGAGACAGCCCTTTGTCCACGTGTGCCACCGAAGTAGATTCTGGCCTGCGGCACGTCTCGCTGCCTGGGGGCCTGTCATGGGGCCAGTGGGTGCCCAGTCTGCGGCTGGCCATGTGTGTGGCTCCGAGGGGACCCCCGCTCACGCCCCCCCCGTGTGATGTTCACTTTCAGTATCGCTCCATTAACCACCGCATGGATGTCAGGTCGATGTGGCTTTACCGGTTGTATTACTCGAACACGTGCCAATGGTGAGAAGGCCCACGCGTGCAGCGGGGCGTTCCCATGGCCTGGCTGGGTGCGGGGAGGCCGGCCTCAGGGTCCACGCGGGTTTCCCCTCCCTATGGCAGAGAAGGAGCTGCTTTCCCCAGCTTCTGGGAACGGAGCCCTGCCTGGGGAAAGAGGGGCTCTCCGGGGGGTGAGCTCCAGGCCTGGCCATCGAGCTGTGACCCGAGCACTGGCATGTGACCGCGCGAGAGCGGGCACAGACCAGGAGGCGTGGGCTCTGCCTATTGAAGCCGTGGAGTCTGTCCTTGCTTCCCAGGCATCCCGCCTGCGGATCTAGTTTTTGGCCCAGAGCCCTGCTGGTGCGCGCATTTTAATTAATTTTGGTTGGTTTTTCTTTTCTTTTTTTTTCTTTTTTTCAGGATATTGAGCCTCACCATTTTCTTGATCCTGTTTTTGGCCTTTATCGAGAGCCCTTCCTCGCTCACTAGCACCGCGGACATCCGCTACCGCTCGGCCCCCTGGGATCCACCCTGCGGCCTGACCGAGGGCGTCGAGGTGCTCTGCCTGCTGGTCTTTGTGGCCGACGTCTCTGTGAAGGTGAGGTGGGGGACGTCAGGGGCCAAAGCCCAGGGGCCAGCGCCCTCCGGGCTTGTCCGCTGCTTTCCTGATTCATTTACCCTCCCGGAGCCAGCTGCCTTTTTCTCCGACTGCACTTTGACCCTCTGAGCAGAGGCCTGGGTGGGTGGAGAGTTCTGGTCATTGAAACAGAGGCTCTGTCTGCTTCTGCCTTCTCCAGACCAGACTGAGTCTGGGCTCTGCCTATCGGGTGCACGACCTTGTGGGACCTCCGGGGGTGGCCGAGGGTCAGGCGGTGCCCTCATGAGGAGAGGCTCCAGTAGAACAAGGCAGGGCCAGTGGTCTCTCTCTTGCCCAGCCTCCCACCCCCAAGAGAAGAGGAACACGGGAGGAGGTGGACGTGGGGCGGAAAGGGGCCTGTTGCCATGTGGTGTGTGTCTGACCCTAGATTCTGTCTGACCCTAGTCCTTTCAGAAGCTGGGGGTGGGCCCGGCCTCGCTCATTTGAGGTTCTGAGCCGTGTCAAAAGTTGAGAGCCCTAATGGTTTCCCTGTGAGAGGAGAGGGGCCGAGAGGCCAGGTCTGGCTGCGGGTCTTATGCGGCTTTTATCAGACAACTCTGGGGCTGGGCCCTCGGGACACCGCTGGCCACACAGTGCATCGGGCTGTTCCCAGAGTCCGGGGTGCCTTTGCCCGGCCCCTGCTGGGCTGTCCTGCAGCTGATGCTGAGGCCGTGGGCAGCTTTGCATTGTTTCTTCAGCTTGTGATGTGTTGAGGGGGCTTGGGGGTTTTTAAAACTGGAACTGAAAGTGGTGAGACATTCTCATTAGTGTTTTTGAATGGCTGGTGCGTTTGGGAAGTCTCAAAAGTCAGAGCAAGTGTACATTTTTATCTGCGCGCAGTGACGTCTGGGTGGGCTGCCGTCCGTGGGGCTCGTGACGGCTGGCCAGTTGGCCACAGAGAGAGACCTCCGGCCTGGTTGATTTTTACTGGTTTATTTAAAAATTTAAAAAAAAAATGTTTTATTTATTTGCGAGAGGGAGTGAGTGCACAAACAGGGAGGGGCAGAGGGAGATGCAGGCTCCCTGCCGAACGGGGAGCCTGATGTGGGGCTCGATCCCAGGACCCAAGATCATGACCTGAGTCGAACGAAGACAGAGGCTTGACCGAAGACTGAGCCGCCCAGGTGCCCCTCAGGCCTGGTTTACAGATGGTTCTGGGTGTGGGCCGGCCCTAACCAGAAGTGGACTATGGGTGTTGTTATAGCCCCTTCTCCAGAATGGTTCTTTTTTTTTTTTTTTTTTAAAGATTTTGTTTATTTATTTGACAGAGATCTCAAGTAGGTAGAGAGGCAGGCAGAGAGAGAAGCAGAAGCAGGCTCCCTGCTGAGCAGAGAGCCCAATGCGGGGCTCGATTCCAGGACCCTGAGATCATGACCTGAGCTGAAGGCAGAGGCTTAACCCACTGAGCCACCCAGGCGCCCCACCAGAATGGTTCTTTTCCAGAGTGGCTCTTGGGCATAAGCTAAACTGACGGTTTGGATGGGCAGGACGGCTCGGCCCCCGTTACCGACGTGGAAGCAGGCGGGCGTGGTTAAGTGCTGAGCCCAGGATCACTGGCTGTCTGAGGTCACTGGCAGGCTGGGCGGGGAGCTCAGCTTCTTGCTCCCCAGGTCACATGGAGGCCACAGTGGCTGCCCAAGCGCCCCTACTCTGGCTGCCCTGGCCTCACCTGTGTGCGCCAACAGGCTGGGGCTGGCTGCGGGGCTGGTGTCTGCGGGGTCACCTGCTCGCCCGCTCACCCCCTGCCCCTCTTGCAGAGCTACCTGGTTGGGTGGGCCCAGTTCCGGACGAACCCCTGGCTGCTGGCCTACCTCGCGGTGCTGGTCGTGTCTCTCACGGACTGGATTGTGTCGCTGAGTCTGCTTTGCCAGGAGGTAGGTGGTGCGGTGGCTCGGAGCGGGGAGGGGGGAGCTCTGGGCGGCCTGCCCCCTGCCCAGCTCTGCCCGCCCTCCTAGCCCTCCAGTCAGCCATCAGGCCATGGGGCCTTGTCCCATCTTGCAGAAGGAGGCACTGAGGCCTGGGGAGGGCACAAGGACCCCTGATTCCTGCCTCGCCATTTTCCAGCTCAGTTCCTCCAACGGCTGGATCCCCTGCTGCCCCGGGGCCTTGCCCTGGCCACGTGCCCAGACCTCTGGGGGTGCTGCAGTGGGAGAGTCCATGTTAGCCGAGTGTCCTGTCCTGCCCCCACCCAGATGCACTGCCCGGTTACCGGATAGGACAGAAGCGGGGAGACTTGGTGTGGGGACACCCGTGTCCATCAGGAACGGTTGGGCACAGGAGCCCGTCAGGTGCTTTAGCCAAGAGAATTTGTTGAGAAGCTTAAACAGGCGTTGAGTAACCGATAGAGCAGAACGTGGGTGGGGCGGAAGCTGCAGGAAGCTCAGGGGAGGGGCCCCCAGAAGTGGGGCCCCGCCCTCCAGGCCCTGGAGGCGGGCAGAGCACCCAGACCCTTCCGGAGACTGCAGGAAAGGGAGGCTGGCAGCCCCCCACATGGGCACTGCCCTGGGGCCAACAAGGAGACGGAGAGCAGTCGCGTATTCCCCTCCGGCCTCCCAGCCTCTCCCTAGTGCCCTCACTGGCAGGAGGGAGCGGGCTGCCAAAGGGGAACAGAGCTGCTAGCAGGATGGCCAGCTCAGTGCCCGCCTCCCACTTCCTCGCAGGAAAGAGCTCCGTGAACACGTGCAAACCCATGTCTGTGCAACAGGCAGGGGAGGCCGCGCGCAGCCCCTCGGGCTTGTGTTGTTGCTGGTTGTGGCCCTTCTGGGTTCCTCCTGCTCAGGCTCCCCGTGCCCTTGGCTGCAGCCAGCTCCCTGCTCCTGTGGCTTCTTCCTCTCGAAAAGGGACCCAGACCTTCATTCCTGGCCAGTCTGTGTCTTCAGGGGCCCTGTTTTTGGAGTCCCGGAGTTTTCTGATAGTCTTTCTCCTGGCTGTGCCTCAGGAGCCCCGACCCAGACCTCCCCGCGCCTCTGTGCTGCAGCACTGTCCTCGGCAGTGGGCATGGTGTTCCCCCCGCCACCGGCATCCCACCCTGCTTTTCCTGACTCTTCCGGCACACGTGCCCACGGGGTGGCCATTTCCAGAGCAGCAGGCATTGGACTGCGACTGGGGAGTGGAGGAGGCCGTTCTGCTTTGTCCTGGTGCTTGGAGCCTCTGCTGCACATCCTGGGACCACCGGGCGCTCTTCCCAGGGCTGGTGTCCCTGAGCCCGCCTCGTGCCATCGAACCCTTCGGGGTGGGGCGGTGTAAGCCGGGGAGTGCCGTGGGCTGGTCTGAAGCCGCATGGCCCCTGAGACTCAGACAGTGGTCCTGGGGCTCTCCCAGGCAGGGCCCTAACCCGCATGCCTGGCTGTCCAGTGAGGACAGATCAGCGCCCTGCCCAGGGAAGGGGCCCGTTGCAGTCGCCTGCCCCGCTGCCGCGGCCGCATTGGGGTGGGTGAGTGGAGCTGGGCTCTGCTTCTGGAGGGCAGGCCGTCCGTGGTGGCCTTCGGGGCAAAGGCTCGGACATTACAGGACATGTCGTTCTGTCTTGTGGGCGTTCCCTCTGTCCGTCCACGCACACACTTCTCAGAGCTTTCCCCACTGATCGGGTCTGTTCTTTCTGTGCCCTGACCACCCCGCGGGAGTTGTTCTCTTTCTCGGTACAGACAGGCTAGACCCTAACGCGCTGAAATGCTTTCCCTTCAGCACCCCCGTGGCAGTTTTTCCTGATGGAGGCCGTAGCGCCACACACGGTCCACTTCTGGGTGGGTTCAGCACGTCACCCAGAACCGTCCATAGACCAGGTCTGTGGTCCTTTCCTGTGGCCAGCTGGCTGGTCCTAAGGAACTCATCACGGGCACCAGGGGCGGGAGGGCACAGAGGGACTGGGGGCCTCCCCCGTGCTCCAGCCTAGTCTCTCTGTTTCTACCTTGTGGCCCGGAGGTCAGATCACGTGGGGTCTATCGGTCACTGGGTAGGCCGTGGTCACGACTCTTTTCTCGTGGGAGGCGAGGCTGGTTCGTTGGCGGGCTGTGACTCTGGGGGCCTCGTCAGGGGCTTCCGGGCCCCGGGCCAGCTGCTCATCAGCGTTGAGTCCTGTGGCTGTCCCTCCCCGTCCTTCATAAAGGTCACACGTCCCTGTGTCCATGACCCTGATGTGGCCCCAGCATGGGGAGGGCTCTTGGCGGGAGGTGCGAGCTGCACCCTGGTCTGTGATTACAGGCGAGGGTCCAGGACCCTGGTGCGGGTGCCAGTAGGACCTTCAGCTGCCGCTTGGCCTCGGGAGGTGGCCGAGACTCAGGATGTGGGTGCTGAGACGAGGTTCCATCCAGGGGCCGTGAGCGGGTCATGGGTGAGCTGGGGACGCTGGTCCCTCAGCCCACAAGTGCACGGGCGCAGGGGGGCAGTGGGCAGAGCCGTGAGTGTCTGTTTACTGATGTTTCCTGGGGCTTTCTGGTCCTGTGCCGAGAGCGGGGCCCCCTTCTGACAATGTGTATAGCCCAGGGAGGTTGAGTCAGGCCTTGGGCTCCCGTATCCTGTGGACGACCTGGAGGGTCTGCTGTGTGCCCATGCTGGTGGGACCTCGTTCTCTTGAGAGAGAGCCCTCTAGAATGAGGAAACCCCAGGTACGTCATGGTATTTGGAGTGCCATGGGTGCCATGCTGGAGGGCGTGGCATTTACGCTGGCCTGGGAGGGACGAGGACAGTCCGCTCGCTGAGCAGAGGGGTGGCCTGAGGGCTGCAGGCAGCGGGACGGCGGGTGGTGGCCCCTGGACGGGCCAGAGTGGGCCTCCAGGCCAGTCCTTCGGCCTTGGGCAGGGAGGGGACGTGGTCAGCTGGGCTTCTACGACAAGATGCGCGGAGATTTAACGTGACACTTAAAACCATGTGGCCAAGGGGATGGGGTGATTGTGAGAGAGGTGTTAACGCTTTCGTATGAAAGGTATAAATCGCCAAAAAATCACAAAAAGCAAATAACTACATGGCTTGACAAGTTCCCCAAGGCGAGAGGCCACAGATGGGAGGAAGGGGCTCTGGGTGTCAGCACTCGGGGGTCAGGTATGGGGGAGCTGGCCTGAGGTGTTGGGCAGACCCAGGCCCAGAGGTCTCTGAGGCTGGGGCCAACGCCCCGGACAGGAGGACCGGCTGGGGCAGGGGTGGGGGCGTCAGGGGCAGGGTCTTAGAATGGGTGGTGTGTTAGCTAGTGGAGGAGGAGGAAGGGACGCCCGAGGGAAGCCCTTGAGAGGGCTGGGGTATCCTGCAGACAGTGGGGGTGGGAGGGCCTCTCCTTGGTTCTGAGAGGAAGGAAGAGGGGAAGGAGGACACCGGGCCCTGTGGGTGCTCCTGTGTGTGTGTGCGTGGAGGGTGTGCTCGTGCAGGGTATGCCCACGGAATGTGTGTGTGCTTATGGAGGGTGTGTGTGTGTGGGTGTACGTGCAAGTGTGTGTGTTTGTGGGCGGGGGCTGCAGGGTGCAGAGTGCGGCCTGGTGGCCAGGTGTGCGGGTGGGAGCCGGGCCGCAGATGCGGGGGTGGGGTGGGGGAGGAGCCAGGAGCGTGGAGCAGTCCCCCACCCCCACCCCGTGGGACAGACAGCGTTGTAGGGCGGTGTGGAGCCCCCCATGGCGCTGCAGGGCTGATGGGAGCTGGGTGGCCCGTTGGCAGGGGTGGGGGGAGGCTGCGGAGTGGTAGTTGGGGAGCACAGAGGTGGGGGGCTGGGGCCTGGAGCAGCTGGCCGGGAGGGGTCCGAGTGGGTCTGGGGGGCCCCTCGGCAGGTCCGGTCTCAGGCCTGGGTGCGGAGCCACTTCCCGCTGTCTTCCAGCGGCTGCGGATCCGCAGGCTCCTGCGGCCGTTCTTCCTGATGCAGAACTCGTCCATGATGAAGAAGACGCTCAAGTGTATCCGGTCGTCGCTGCCGGAGATGGCCAGGTGGGCGCTCCCTGTGCCGCTGTCGGGCGCGCCGGGACTGCGGCCTGGGGCACGACTGGCCCCAGCCTGGGAGGCCAAGGGGGTGGGTGTCCGGGGGCCTCCTGGCAGCCCCTCAGTGGTCTGGGAGCCTCTGCCTGATGGCTGCAGAGCCCTTTGGGTGCTCCCCGGCCATCCCCGCTGGGGCCATGACCACCTGCCCCCACTCTCCTCCCATTCTCCCCGCAACCTGCCTCCGTTCTCTGTCCCCTGGCCTCCCTCTGCCTCTGCTCCGCTTCCCCCGGTGGCTCACGTGGCTGGCCCTCGCTGTCCAGCCCAGATGGATGGATGTGGCCGTCCCCTCTGAGAGTCCAGGGGTCTTTGGACCCCCAGACGATGCCCCGAGGGTACCGATGGTCCCTGCTGGGGAAAGCGCTCCCTAAGGACAGGACCGGTAGTGAGCTCAGGTCAGGGTCGGGGGCAGGGAGCTCCCTGAGTGCTCGGGCGGCTGTCCCTAGACCCCGTCCTGCTGGGTGCGCGGGGCGTGGGTTCCGTCTGAGCGCCCGCGCCCCCCCAGTGTCCTGCTGCTGCTGGCGCTGCACCTGTACGTCTTCACCATGTCTGGGATGCTGCTCTTCACAGGCGAGAAGGTACCGTGTTCCGCTCTGTCCGTGCCGGGAGCCCGGGGCTTGGATGGATGGGTCGGCCCTGTCCTCCAGGTAGCTGTTGGGCCTGCAGAGCTGGCGGACCGGTTAGGCCGCCTGCCCTAGCCTTGTAACGGGGGTCAGCGGTGGTCCACCTAGACCCCAGGTGTCTCTTCAAATGGCCAGTCTTCATGTGCCTGTCCCCATGGCCTCACAGGCTCAGGGCTGGGCAGCCTGGCTGCTGCTCCCTCTCCTCCCTCCTTCCCTTCCTCCTCTTTCCTCTCCTCCCTGCCCTGTTGCTGACCCAGATTTCTCTACACCCCTGTTAGGTGGAGGCCCGCTCGGACTGGCGCTGGGGGCCACTGGGTGGACTGCGCCACCATCTGCCCCACGGCGCCCATCTCCGCTTCTCCGGCTGCGGGCTTTTGCCCTCCCCCAGATCCCCTTCCCTTCCCACTTCCGCTTCTTCTCGGCCCCCCAGCGGCTTGTTGCCTTGTGGAGGTGTCTGCCGCCTCTCACCCCGGTCCCCCCACCTCTCACCCCGGCCCCCCCGCCTCTCATCCCGGTCCCCCCACACCATGCGTCTGTGGTCCAGTGTGTCTTTCCTCATGGCCTGGCTAGTGTCACTGTCGTCCTCGGGGCTGGAGCTGTCCCGCATCTCTGTCCTGGGAGTGTGGCCGAGGGTCAGCCAAGGCCAGTTTCTGTGGAGTTTGTGGCAGTACTCGGGGGCTCAGACTGTCCTGTCCGTGAGGGAGGACTGCAGACTGTCCTGAATCTGGGAGAGCTGGAGCTCCTGTGTGTGTGCACATGCGTGTGTGCGTGCTTGCATGTGCCTGTGTCTATAATTATCTTTTGAGTGTGTCTGTGTTTGTGGATTGTGTGTGCCGTGTGTCTCTCTACCTGGGCATGTGCTCTGTGTCTTTGTGTTTTTGTGTGTGTGTGTATGTGTGTGTGCCTGTGTGTGGTCGTGCCATTAACCGGTGTGCCATGTCTCAGTGTGTGCTCCAGCCAGGGTGGCTGAGGCTTTTCCCCGTGGTCCTGAGCAGACCTGCTTCGTGGGCCCGTGGCCTGTGGGTATGCAGCCGCCCTGGTCTTCTGAGTTAGGCTCCGTCTGGCCACGAGTGCAGAGTCTGTGGGGAGATGATGGGAGGTGCAGGTCAGGGGTGTTGACCCCCCGGTGGCTGGAGCTCTGGCGGCCACAAGCCGTGGCTGTTGGGAGACAGAGGCCCGACGGCCCGTCACAGCTGCCCCGTTTGCTCTCAGCAGGGCGATGGGCAGGACCGGGAGAGGCGGATCTATTTTCGCAACCTGCCGGAGGCTCTGACCTCCCTCCTGGTGCTGCTGACCACCGCCAACAACCCTGACGGTGTGTGAGGAGGGGCGCGGGGCCCAGGGATGGGGGGTGCGGTTAACCCGGAGCCTCGGCGCGGGACTCTGGAGGCCGGAGCGCGTCAGGCTTCTCTGTCACTGGGGGGAGCGTGGAAAGGAGGACATCGGGTTCTGTCCCTCGCTCATTCCTTGTTTTTCTTTCCCTGTTTGTCTTTTCCCTTCTCCTTCCTGCCTATTTCCTCTCTTCCCTTTTCCTCCCACTTCAGCGCCTTGCTCGCTCGCTCTCTCCCTTCTGCTCTGTTCCCTTCACCTTGTCTTTCCCGACTCCTGTCTCCACGGAGAAGCTGAGAATGAGCACGGTGACAAATGGTGTGCTTGGCGGGTTCCCTGGTGGCTTCCTCTTTGAGGCCCAGCCACTGTCCCTGTTGCCACTCAGGCGTGGCCGTGGGTTACAGCTCGTCCCTGAGGTGACAGGCCCTGGGTATTTGGTGGCTGTGGTGCTCACATTTGGGGCTGCTGCTGGGGCAAGGGCGGTGGCCAGGATGGGGTGCTGCGGGCCTCTGGGGCCTGGCTGTGGCCGCCCTGGCTGGTGACTTTTGTCTTGGGCTGAGGGATGATGCCCCCTTCACGGAGACCTTCCCGGGAGGGCAGCCCCCAGCTTCCACGCCCAGGGAGAGCTGTGTGGCGGGACCCTGAGCATTGTCCCCCCATGTCCTGTGAGTCGTAGCAAGTCACCCAAGGGAGAGCTGAGCTTCTGCGTGTGGGGAGTTCCCAGGGAAGCAGGTTTCAGCTTCGTGGAGGGGAGGGGCAGCCTCGGAAAGGAGCGAGGTCCCTGCTGCAGGGGTGTGTGCGCAGAGGTGTGAGGGTTGGCATTTGGATGGGAGCCAGAGCCCCCCGTCTGTTGAGGGCACGTGGTGGGGCCGTGATGGGGTCAGAGCGGAGGCCGAGCTTGTGAGCATGTTTCTGTTTCTCCATTTTCTTCCCAGTTATGATTCCTGCATATTCCAAGAACCGGGCCTACGCCATCTTTTTCATAGTCTTCACCCTGATAGGTGAGTTCGGACAGATTTGCGGGGGTCACTCGGGACAAGATCCTGTCCCTCGTGGCAAGATCCCGAATGCTCAGGTGTGAGTGTGCCCTCCTGACCCTGTGTCTTCGCCTCAGTGTGTTGTCTCTCACCACGTGACTTCACCTGAGTGTGTCCTCCTGTGACTTCTCTTCAGCTGCCTTCATTGCTGACCTTGCTTTAGTTTGCCTTCCCGACCGTGTGACTTAGCTTCCGTGTGTCCTCCCTGACCCTGTGACTTTACCTCAGCCCTCCCTGCTGACCGCCCTTCAGCGCCCTCCTGACCCTGTGACCCTGTGCTCTCTGACCTGTGACTTCTCCTCAGCGTGGTCCACCTCGTGGTTTTCAGTCGTGACCACGGACGGCCTCTGTCCCGGTGCCCGTGGCTGGGCAGGCCCGATGGCCGCATGTTCATTAGACGGGGACGGGGAGGCCTGTGTGTTGACTGGTGCGCCCCAGGCCCCTGGCAGGAATCGCGGCCTCTCCCTACCCTGGGCCCCTGGGTTTCGCCTCCCCCCATCTCGCCTTGGGCCCCCGCAGCTGCTGCTCCTTCCAGACTCGGCCCCCCTGTCTGTGGTGGTCCCCACTGACTGGCTTTTTCCACTCGAAGGGAGCTTGTTTCTGATGAACCTGCTGACGGCCATCATCTACAATCAGTTCCGGGGCTACCTCATGGTGAGCTGGGCTGCTGTCCCTGCGGCTCCGGGAGGAGCGGCCCCCGGAGGCCAGGCGGGCCACTACCAGCGGGGCGGCCCCGCAGTGAGGGGTGGCCGGGTGGGGGCCGGGCCCCTGGGGTGCCGGGGTGCGCTATGGTGTCTGGTGGTGTCCGGCTCCCTTCTGTGGGGGGAGCAGGAGCCGCGTCCCATCCTCCCTCCCCGGGGCCGTGCTGTCATCACAGCCCCCCAGGGGCCACTTCTCTGCTGCAGCCGCTCCAGGGCAGGTGGCCCTGAGCCCCCCGTGTGGGAGAGCAGGGGTCCCCAGACATGCAGAGCAGAAACACATCCTAGCGAGTCCCGTGGGCCGTGAAGAGTCGGGCTGCTCCCCTGGGGCCTGTGGGGGCGAGGGCTGCTCCCCCAGAGGCGCGGGCACGAGGCGGGGCGGGGGGTGTGCGGCCAGGACAGGCCCGGCCCCGCCGCTCAGAGCCCTTGTCCTCGCAGAAGTCCTTCCAGACCTCGCTGTTCCGGAGGCGGCTGGGAGTGCGGGCCGCCTACGAGGTGCTCTCCTCCCTGACAGCGGAGGGAGAAGCCCACCCCCGAGAGTGAGTGCCGGGGCTCCGGGGCGCCCTGCCTGAGCCGGGGCGGGGGAGGGGGGGCTGCTGCTGGGAGGGGCCGCCGGATGCTCCGCTCGGCGTTTCCGGGCAGCGCACCTGCCGAGCCCCCCGCGGGCTGCCCCTGACGCGAGCGCTGCCTCGGACTCGCACGGACGCCGCATCCCTGGTGCTGCAGGGCTCTGTCGCCCTCCCGGGTGATTCACTTGTGCTCCCGACCGCTGGAGACCGTGGGCTGCTGAGGGCCAACGGGCCTGCGCTGGGTGTGGGGCCTGTCCGTGGACGGTGGCCGCCCGCGTGGCCCCTGAGCCGCCCCGGCCTGTCGCTGTCGTGCCCTGCGCCTCTGCTGAGCGCCAGCGCGCTCCTCTGGAAGGGGACAGGGTCGCCTGGGCACTGCAGATGACAGGACGACTGACGTGCACGTGGCTGGCCTCACAGAGGCCCTCGTCTGTGCCACCTGCCGCGCGGATCCGGCCAGACTTGGGGGCGCCGCGGCGTGCTGAGCTGGCGGGGCTCACTGGGGTGCGGGTGTCCTTTCCCCAGAGTCGGGGTGCGGCCCCGGGACTTCCTGCAGGTGCTTCAGCGAGTCCAGCTGTCCAGCTCCCACACACAGGCCGTCGTGGAGGTATCCGGGCCCCCCCTTTCCCCAGCCCTCCCTAACCCGTGCTCCGCCCAGAGGTCCCCTCAGCCACCAGCCCCCTTTCACCACCAGGGTGTCGTTTCAGATCTGCCGGGGCTGGCCTGGGCCGGGTGGGGCTGGGGACGCGGCACTGTCCTGTCCTGGGCCCGCCCTCCCCTCGGCCCGGCTGACCAGGGTGCGTTTCCCTCCTCTGCAGAAGGTGCGTTCCTATGGTGGCGACCTGCTGTCAGCCGGCGAGTTTCAGAAACTCTTTAATGAGTTTGACAAAAGGGTGATTAAAGAGGTAACCGGGGCCAGGCCACGTGGGGTGAGCGGGGAAGGTTGCAGAACCTGTTGGCTTCGATCCCTTGGGTGACTCTAAGTGACCAGTGCCAGGACCCGCCTTCCCAGGGATTCCAGCTCCTAGGATGGTAAATGGCTCTTGGAAGCCAGGGTGGTCTTGTCAACCTTATGCACTTCACAGACCACAGGGACTGGCCTGGGCCAAGTCTGACCCAGAGGAACTGTCCACAGGGTTTTCCCTGTCTTCACGACAGACTCTTACCTGCTTCCGTGTGTCCTTCCCCAGGACAGTCCCAGGTTTGTCTCAAGCCTTTGTTTTGGTCCTTGATGCCGATTTGTCAAGTCCCCAGGTGGCCCTTGGCATCCAGCTCAGCCCTGTGTCCACCGAGAGCCCTGTTCCAGGTTAAGCTTTCAGTCACTAGTGCGTGACTGTCCTGTACTCTTTCACAAACACTTTGTGTCGTGTGGGAAACGCTTGGCATATATTCAGATGGTGGCCGCATGTTCTGTCGCAGTTTACGTCGCGGTCCATGGCCAGTTAGTCTCTCTAGTTCTCTTTGACGTTAAAAGATGACCGTGATGTTCATCTTAGCGTGTGTGGCGAGTTCCGTGTTTGAGATTGTTTTGTTGGGCTGGCAGACAGGGATAAGAGAGGAGGTAGGAAAGAGCAGAATCCCAGAATAAAGGGGGACGGGCCCTGCTGGGCTGCCAGCCGCCATGGCCCCTGCAGGCGCATGCTGCTGAGCCCGTGTGCGTTTCCTCCCCAGCCCCCACCGCGGCCCGAGTACCCGTCTCCCTTCCTGAGGAGGGCCCAGATCGTCTGCAGCCACCGCTACTTTGACTACCTGGGGAACTTCATCGCCCTTGGGAACCTCGTGTCCATTTCTGTGAGTGTGGGCTCACCCTCGTGTAGACGTGGGAGGCGCCTCGTTGCCCCTTCCATGACCATGGCCTTGGCACCCGGGCGCCGGGCCGGGCTGGTGAGCAGCCTCCCGCTCTGGCTCTGCAGGTGTTCCTGGTGATAGATGCAGACGTGCTGCCCGAGGACCGAGACGACTTTGTCCTAGGGGTGAGCTCTGGGGACATGTGGCTGGCAGGCATTCGCCAGGGTGACGGGGAGTCAGCGGTAGCGAGAGGGCACAGCCTCCCCCTCCCTGGGGCCCTTGTGGTGCAGAGCCACTCCTTCCACTGTGGGGTACCCCCACAGGACGGTGGAAGAGGTGGCCGGGCCTGGGAGGGGCTGGCATGGCAGAGGCGGCAGGTGGGGCCGCTGGCGTCTTCCGGCCTTGTGTGGCCCTGGGATGGGAGCTCCCCCACCTGGTTGCTGCTCAGCCAGTTCTCAGCCCTTTCTGGAATGGCGAGCGTCCCTCCTAACGCTACACAGTCTTTTCAAACTCCTTGAGAATGTAAAAACAGTGTTGTCATGTTGAATTTTAAGCAAGACAGCCCCAGTACCCCCACAGTACTCAGTGCCAGCACTCTAACAAAGCAGGTGTTTCTTATATATATATATTTATTTATTTTTAAAGATTTTATTTATTTATTTGACAGAGAGAGATCACAAGTAGGCAGAGAGGCAGGCAGAGGGGGAGGGGGAAGCAGGCTCCCTGCCGAGCAGAGAGTATGATTTGGGGCTCGATCCCAGGACCCTGAGATCATGACCTGAGCCGAAGGCAGAGGCTTAACCCACTGAGCCACCCAGGCGCCCCCAAAGCAGGTGTTTTAAAGTTTACTTTGATGAAAGATCTTGCGAACAATTTTTAAACTGAAGAAAGTGAGTAAACGTTCTCTGATTACATAGGAAAAAGCTTTTATCTGATAAACAGCTGACACAGTATGTCGTGCATATTAAACATAGACTAGACTTTATCGTGGCTTCGAAATGGGAAAAATGCCTTTCCTGACCTGATGCTTGAAATTCCTTTGTCTTACCCTTCAAGTCCAGTTCTTAGCTTTCTTATTTCCATTGTATTTCCTTCCTGGATGACACTGGGGGGCTTCTTAGGCACTGGAGAGGCAACTGGTTTTTATTCCTGATGAAGTCAAGTTGGATACAGTTGACTTGTATTTTATCTTCTTTAACAGTAGGGGTTAAGCACGGGGGTCAGCCTGATTGTGAGGGACGTGAATGCCGCGTGGGGGTTTTGGGGTGCCTGCGGAGTTCCATCCTTTTCTGCCCCTTGATAATTGCTCATGATACGGGGTCAGGAATGTTCTTACTGCCTTAACGGTGACCTCGTCGCGGGTGTGAGTGAGGCAGCATGAAGAATGTGGAGTTTAGGCTGGACAGCAGGGCGAGGTGACTGCAGCGGCCATCTGACCCCACGTGTCCCTCCCATGGCTCTGTGCTCGCTAGGGAGCACAGTAAGGAGGGAGCCCCTCTGTATTTTACTGACTGGCTTCAAAGGGGACAGTGACACAGTGGCCTGTGGTGACCTTCGAAGCTAAGACCTCCTCTGTCCCTCCGACCACCAGGGGCTGGGAGGACACTGCTGAGAGCCAGGCACGCACCGGGGAGACCACTGCCCATGTGCGCTGTTAGAGGTCGCCCCGATGTTCCATGGAGAGTGGCCAGGAGGGGTCAGGACAGAGAACTGGGGGCATGGGCTCGGGTGGCAGCCGTGGGGAGGGAGAGATGTGGCCACAGGGGCTGGTGGGGTGGGGTGGCGGGGGTGACCCAGGCCCCGCAGGCCCAGAGGAGATGGAGGGCCAGGAGAGCGGCTGTGCCAGTTGTTACCGAAGCCAACGTGGGGTACTGGTCACCGAGGGGAGGCTGTGGAGCAGGGAGAGGTGGGGTGCTGGAGACGCCCCTTGGGGGGGGGCGTGGGAAGAGCAGCCCCAGGCGCCCTGAGGAGCCAGTGAGGGGCGCGCGCGGGCCGGGCTGCCTGCTAGGTCCCTGTCTTCCTCTCAGATTCTCAACTGCGTCTTCATCCTTTACTACCTGCTGGAATTGCTGCTGAAGGTGTTTGCCCTGGGCCTGCCGGGCTACCTGGCCCACTCCAGCAACGTGTTTGATGGCCTGCTCACCGTCGTCCTGCTGGTAAAGTCGGAGACGGGCCGGGCCGCCGGCCTCCTTGGGCGGGCGGTGTGTTCTCTGCGGCTGGTTCTGCGCTGTGTCCATCTCAGGCTGTGTCTCGGGAGTGGAGGCCCCCAGGGATTTGGGCTCCTGCCTCCAGGGACAAGGGGCTTTTTCAAACCCAGCGTGAGCTGCGTGGTGGGCCGCCAGCGGGGGCTGGTAGGAGGCTGGGTTTCCCTGGCATCTGAGTGCAGTGGGGGCAGCCTCTCCGCCCTGGAGCGGGGCCTGGAAGGAGCCCGGGGTCTTTACCTGCTAACCAGCCCCAGCCACAGACCTAAGGATGGTGGGACCTTGGGGAGGACGGAGGGCGGGGTGGGGGTGGGTCTTGGGCACCCTCCCAGAACCCATTGGAGTGGAGGGTCACATGTGGTGTGTGTGTCATGGCAGCCATCCTGGTACAGTGTTTATTTGTGTTTGTTGTGGGCCCCTTGGGACAGGAGCAAAGACAGTCAGAGAGAAGGGCCTTCCGTCTGCCCTTGACCTGGGCCTCCGCCAGCCTTTCCGGTGTTGTGCCCTCTGGGTGTGCGGGCCGCTGGGTCCCGAGACCTCGGTGTCTTTCTCAGCCACAGGAAGCCCCACGTTTGGAACCAACCCATGGGGACAAGAACGGAGCTCTGACTTCTCCTCAGACCCTTCTGGTGGGGAGTGTGTTACACACGAGCTGTAGAGTTCGATCAAAAGCTGTCTAGATAGGTGTTGCTGTAGTGATGCCTTCTTTTCTTTTGTAATTCAAGGTTTTGGAGATCTCAACTCTGGCTGTGTACCGGTTCCCACACCCGGGCTGGTATGTCACTGGAGAGAACCGAGGGAGGCTACAGCAACCAGCGCCCCACCAAGGCCCCAGGGGAGGGTGGCCCGGGCGCCCCGGCCTGCCTGCTCGTGCTGCTCGGCTCCAGGACGAAGCCCCCGGTGTTAGGAGGGCAGACAGCTGGGCGCTTGGCCGGCTGAGGACTGTGGGAGCCGTCCCCCCTCCTCGCTCTTGGGGAGCAGGTCCTAAGTCACCGTCAGCGGACAGCGGTCCCAGAGCTGGGACAGGCCTTTAGGGGGCAGCGGGCTCAGCACCAGAACCAGGATGGAACGTGCGGCCCCCTGTGTCCCTGGCTGTGGAGACCCCTGAGCGCTGGAATAGGGCTGGAGGCTGTGTGACTGATGTTGGCCTGTTCCCTCCCACTCTGGGCTTGGGTTTAGTGCCCTGGAAGTTGGCAGGGATGGGGCTGCTGCATGAGTCCCACTGCCCCCACTTCTGGCCGCAGAGCAGTGCGCATGTCTGGGCCGGGGTCCCAGAGCGCCTCAAAGTGTGGCTTGTGGAGGCTGTCAGGGGGCGTTGCCCAGAACACGGTGGTGCCAGCCAGTGGCCTTGCTGGCCCCGGGCATCCTGGCAGCCCTGGTGTCTTGGCAGGTCTGTGGGCTGCCTTCCTTCTAGTGCAGCAGCTGGAAAGTGCTGGAGATGGGGAGTGGGGCCAAGAGACTTGCTTTAGGGTCAGCTGGCCCGGGAAGGGTCTACGTGGGGCAGACAGGTCGGGCTGGACCTGTCCTCAGTGGTGTGGTGGGGCATGGCAGCTGCAGGGCTACCCTCCCTCGTTTCTGAAATGCATGCGGGAGTCCCAGGAGAGCGTTGTGCGGGGGAGCGGGTTTCCAGTTGGATGGAAATGAGAGCCCGCCGAGCCCCTGAGGGACACCTGGAGGGGCCGGGTACAGGATGGGGTCACAGGATAGAGGATGTGGCTCAGGAGCCAGGGTCAGGCGACAGGGATAGGAAATGAGGTCAGAGGATAGGACCGTGGCTAGGGGTCAGGGGTCAGTGCACCGACTCAGGGACCAGGTCCCTCCTGCTTGTGCCAGGACCTGAGCTGGGCGTTCCAGCGTTTGGAACCTGAGTGCTCTCCCGGGTAAGACGAGGGGTGTGATAGCCAGTGCCATCCTGGGCTGGCAGGGGTGGCCGTCCAGGCTCCATCCTGTGCCTGTGACAGAGGCCCGTCCCCCCGCCCTCCACTTGCTCTTTGCATCTGTCTTTGTCTGAATACGCATCTCCCTGTCTCCCTATTGCCGGCGTCTCGAGGCTCTCCCAACCCGTGTCCCGTGTGTCTCTCCAGGAAGCCAGAGAGGCTGGGCCTGCTGTCGCTGTGGGACATGGCCCGGCTGGTGAACACACTCATCGTGGTCCGGTTCCTGCGCATTATCCCGAGCCTGAAGGTGTGTGGGCATCTGACCTCCTGGCTTGCTTCCCTGCCGTCCAGCTCCCACTCCTGCATTGCCCTGGAGAGTGGCTGGGCCTGGGCGGGGCCGAACTGAGACCAGGACGGTCCCCCTGGGCACCCTGGTCCCCTTGGGCTGTGTCCCCAGCCATGTACTGCTGCTGGGCGGTGCTGGAGGGCAGTGTGAGCCTACGAGCGGCCCAGCCCTGCTTGCACGGACCAGGACACGGAGGGCCGGCACGGGCGGACGGGTGTGGGGCACCTTGGGCAGCCATAGGGATAGCTCTGTGCTCTTTGAGGCCGTCGGTGTTTGTGCAGGGTGGGGGCTGGAGCCCTTGGAGCCAGTGTGTTCCTAGGTGTCCTGAGGTTTCCAGGAGGCCATTGGTGTGGGCCTTTCGTGGCTTCTGGTACTGAGGGCCAAAGGTGAGATTGGCCCAGGCACTCCCCTCCAGGTCCCCCAGTACAGGAGAGGGCGTGTGATTGGCTGGGTGCCAGGCTGCTCGACTCCCAGTCCTGGTGGCTCGTGACTGTCTGTAGGCCTCATCGTCTCCTCATGTATCCACAGGGAGGGACACCAGCCTTGAGGGGAGGGGAGCTCGGTGAGCAGGGCCTTTGGGCCCGGAGCCCGCCCAGCACAGAGGTAGGGTTCGCTCCTCCTGTCCGTTTTCCCAAGAGCTTTTCTGGAGAGAGGAAACCAAGGACATCAGAGACCTTTCTGTGTGTCCAGGTCCTTTCCCCCAGCTCGTCTGTCCTTCCGGGAAGCTGCCCACCTGTGCCATTGGGGGCTCCCTGTTAGCTAGTGGGCTCTCCCGTCGCAAGGTGGCCTAGCGGCCCTGGGTGTGGATGGGGGGGCCGTGCCCAGTGGTCGCGCACGCCACACCCACGTGTGGTCACACATAAGCACGCACAAATGCACACGCCTACGCACATTCTCATGACGGCACGCACCGGTAACCGCGCGGACGTGAGCACACCTGCAGCGTCACCACAGACTCCAGCCACATGCACACGCCGAGCACGCACGTGACCGTGTGCGCAGTCTCACGTGTACACACAGGCAGAATGTACACGCACGCTGCCGTGCCCACACACTACATACACACGCACGCACGTGGCTGTACGCACACACAGTGACCCGTGCGCCCACGAGCACGCGCCCACGCGCTGGTTCTGGGTGTCGGCATCTGGGGTTACAGGCTGACGGGAAAGCCATTCTCTGGGGCTCAGGTTCCCGTGTCCGGGGAGCAGCCCTCTGTAGCCGGGGTGCCTGGCTGGGTGTCAGCCCCTTCCCAGGCCTGACCGCGGGTGAGCTGCAGACCTCAGGTCTGCACTTCTTGGGAGTCTCTGGACCCGAGAAGCGCTAACCCAGCCTTCGTGGGCGCTCGGCAGCGTGACCTGAGCTCCTGCGCGTGCGGGCTTTGCCGGAGGGACTGGGATTGAGACCGTCTGCGTCTGGGTGGACGGCGGTGTCTGTGAGTGTGTACGGTGTGTGTCTGTGCCTCTGGATGGAGGGATGTGGGTGTGTGAGTATGTGGCCGTGTTTATGGGGGGCTGTGGGGTGCACATCTGGGCGTGTGTGCAGGTGGAGGGCCGTGGGGTGCGCCTACGTGTGTAAACAGGTGGGCGGCTGACTGGCGTATGCATACGGGTGTGTGGGTTGTTAGTTCACTGCTGCTTTTCTGGGTCAGGGTCAGGGTCGTGGGCAGGGTTGGTGTCACCTCAGTGGGGCCAGGAAGAATAGGACCTGCTATCCTTCTGTCCTCAGCTAATGGCTGTGGTGGCCAGTACCATCCTGGACCTGATCAGAAACATGCGGGCTTTTGGCGGGATCCTGGTGGTGAGTCTGGCCGGCGGGCTCTGGCCAGCGGGGGGTGCGGGCACGAGTGGAGCCGCCGGTGGGTTCCGGTGAGTCTGAGCCCGAGGCTGGCTGGCCGCTCTGGAGGGAGGCGGGCCCTGTGTTAGGGGTGGCTTTAGGGCTGTGTCGGCCCGGGAGGCCAGAGCGTTCCCTGCCGTTCCCCAGTGTGGACCCTGGGGCTGGTCCTGACCACGCCGCCTTTCCCTGCCGGAGGTGCGTCGGTCACTTTTTATTTCCCACGCATGTTGATCGCAGGCCGTACTGCGACACTGATTTTGAAAAGTGTGAGAGGCATTAGGGATCCCCGAGGCCCACGTAGACCCCAGATGGGGCTTTGGTCAGCCCTCCCTGCGCAGTGGGATCTCGGGAACTCCCAGCCATGGTGGCTGAGAACAAACCACGGCATCCCCCCAGCTCCAGACCGAGCTTTGCCACTGAGCTGCTGTTGGCTCTGCCCTGTCACCCCGCCCAGGGGGGCCCCTGGTGCTGCTCTAGGCGCGAAGCCCCATAGAGGAGACGGAGGTCTGGAAGGGACTGGATTAGCCCGGCGCCCGTGCCCCCTCCTTTTCCCCTGGCACGTTGGGGCTGGGTGGGGACAGGTCGGGGGCCACTGGTGGCCTCTTCTCTCTGCGGCGTGAGACTGCTGGGTGGTTTCCTTGCACGTCACCTCCTGGGGAAGCTTGGCCAGTTCCTACCTGCCCCTCCCTGGAACCTCTTCCCCTAAGACCACCCAGAGTAGGGAGCCTCCTCACCTCTCTTCCTGCCACACCTGTCCTGGAGAAGGGGCGGACAGCCTTGCTTCCTTGGCCCCTGGGTCTTTCCCCCTGGCCCCCGTTGCTCTCTGGCTCGCCTGGTGGTGGCGGCTCCTCCCTCCTTCCCTCTGGGGCTGGAGAGGGTACTCAGGAGGAGAAGCCCCAGCGTTCCCTTGGGGGGAGTGGGGCGGGGCACAGCATCGGGGGCTGGGAACATGCTGCCCTTTGGGTCCTCCTGCCGGGGGGGGGTGCTGACCAGGCCCGGCCCGCCCCCCAGGTGGTGTACTACGTCTTCGCCATCCTGGGCATCAGCCTGTTCCGCGGCGTCATCGTGGCTCCTGGAAACGGCAGGTGAGGTGGGACCTGAACGTCCCAAGGGGAGAAATGCCTCTTGTGGGGGTGGAGGGGCATGAGGCGGGGTGGCGGTGTGGGGGTGGGCTCCCCGGGAGCAGGGGTGTCTCCTAGTCCCTCCTCCTTTGTCTCCCCTCCTTCCCTGCCCTGCCAGATGCCCTCACCCAGCATCTCTACCAAGTGTTTCTGAAGCCTTGTGGCGGCTCCCACCCCTGCACACCCCAGGCCAGGCCACACGCTGGTGGAGGGGGCCCCAGAGCCAGACTTGGATCCCGCTGTCCCGAAGCTCCGTTTCCCACACACGTCTGTAGCTCTTGGCTCCTGGCTGCTCTCACAGCACCTCCGGACGGGGGCCTCCTTTGCTCTCTGGCTTCTCCGGGCCTAGAGGGCTTCCAGCTGGGCAGGGGCTCAGGCAGGGCTGGGGTGCCGTGGGGTCCGTGCCCCAGTCCCCACCCCTGACCCAGCTTGCCGTGTACCTGCAGCCTGAGCCCTGACAATAGCTCGGCACCCTGCGGAAGCTTTGAGCAGCTGGAGTACTGGCCCAACAACTTCGATGACTTTGCGGTGAGCCCTGCACCCCCTGGTCCTCGGCGCCCTCGCCCTCCCATCGCCCTGTCCCGGCCCGGCCGGACCCTATGTCTGCCGCCCCGCAGGCCGCCCTCATCACTCTGTGGAACGTGATGGTGGTGAACAACTGGCAGGTGTTCCTGGAGGCCTATCGGCGCTACTCGGGCCCGTGAGCGACCCCGCCCCGTCCCTGCACAGTGTGTCCCCGGCCAGCATGGCCCTGCCATCCCCGCGCAGTGTGACCCCGGCCGGCATGGCCCTACCCTCTCCTCTGCGCAGTGTGACCCCAGCCGGCATAGCCCTGCCCCGTCTCTGTGCAGTATGATCTGGGCCGGCAAGGCCCCGCCCCGTCCCTGTGCAGTGTGACCCCGGCCGGCACGCCCCTGCGCTGTCCCTGTGCAGTGTGACCCTGGCCGGCACGCCCCTGCGCTGTCCCTGTGCAGTGTGACCCCGGCCGGCACGGCCCTGCCCTGTCCTTGTGCAGTGTGACCCCGGCCGGCATGGCCCTGCCCTGTTCCCGCGCAGTATGACCCCGGCCGGCATGCCCCTGCGCTGTCTCTGCCAAGTGTGACCCCGGCCGGCACAGCCCTACCCTGTCCGTGCGCAGTGTGACCCCGGCTGGCATGGCCCCATCCTCTCCCCTGCGCAGTGTGACCCCGGCCGGCACGACCCCGCCCTTTCTCCATGCAGTGGGACCCCAGCCAGCATGCCCCTGTCCCCTGTCCCATTGGCACCGCTCCTGGCGGCCCACGTCTGGCCTTCTTGTCTCCATAGGTGGTCGAAGATCTACTTTGTGTTGTGGTGGCTGGTGTCGTCTGTCATCTGGGTCAACCTGTTTTTGGCTCTGATCCTGGAGGTACCCGAGATCCCTGCCGGGGCTGTCTCAGGGGTGGTTGCTGACTTGCCACAGACAGCTTGAGGCTGTTGGCTGGGCCCGTCCAGAACGGGGCGGGAAGGGGGCTGTGCTGGATCCCAGCTTCGTGCTGCTTGAGCTGGCTGCTGGGAGCCTCTTAGAATGTCCTTGACATTGGGCCTGTGGGGGTTTCAGCCTGTGGGTGGGGCTGGGGGAGACCTGTCAGGCATCTGGCTCCTGCAGGAGTGGGTGGCTGTGTCGGGCCCTGGATCCCAGCGTCCGGGAGGGGCTTGGATCCCTGCAGTGGATGCCTGGCCCACACTGGAGGGGAAAAGGCTGGGTCACATGGGGCTTACACCCACTGGCCCCCCTGTTCTCCTGCTTGCTAGAATTTTCTTCACAAGTGGGACCGCCGCAGTCACCTGCAGTCCCTCGCTGGGGACCCGGACAGCACCTATCAGATGAGTGCAGAGCTCTTGTTCAGGTGTGTGGGTCAGGAAGGGTCTCTGGGGAGGGGAGGAAGGGAGGGTGAGGCAGGGATTGGGCGGGGGGCTGTCCTCTGTGACAGCAGCATTCCTCCTGCCAGTTCTGCGTTGGGACCAGGGTCTGGGCTTCTTGTTCTCCTGGCGCTGGGGCAGGGACCTCTGTCTTGCTCTCCGATGAAGTTGTTTGAGACAGCATTCTCCGGTTGTCAGTCTCCAGGGGATGCTGTTGGAGGAGGGTGGTGGGTGGCCCCTACCTCCCCGTGGTGCAGGACAGTGGGATCGCCCAGAGAGCTGCGGCCACGCCTTCTCTCCCTGCACCTGCGCTGTGTCGTCGAAGCCCCTCTGCACCGGCACTGGCCAGCCTGGAGGGCCACCGCCACCCCCCCGGCCTCCAACCCCGGGCTTTTAGGGACGCCCCGCACAGGTCCTGGAGATGGATCTAAGTCCCCGTGCTCACTTGGGCACGTGTCTGATGATTCCTAAATGAGGAGCAGGGCGGCCCACCCTCCCGGAGCTGCCCGAGTCCGCCCTCTCCAGAGCTCCCTGCACATCTTCTCCCCGATTCCCCAGGGAGGTCCTGGAGGAGCCGACTGAGGACGAGCTCACGGAGAAGCTGAGCCACCACCCGCACCTGCGGCTGTGCAGGTGACGTCCAGGTGCGCCGTCCTGGCGAGGGCGGCGGGGGGCCCTCTGGCCTCAGGACCGACGCCGTTGTGGGAGGAGGCGGCGGCCGCCCTGAAGGAGAGGAAGGAGAGACTTTCCATCGGATGGACTAACGGACAGATGGACGGACGGAACTCCGCCACCCACCCTAGGCTGGGGCTGAGAGCAGAGGCCCCGGGTCACTGCTGATCCGAACCACGAACCACCACCAGCTTTTCTTGGTGGCACCCGAGTGGGCTGCTTGAACTTTGTGTGGCGTCTGGGCCATGCCGCTCTCTTCGTAAGCTGGCTTCAGCAGGACTCCGGCTCCTCGGAGTCCTGGAAGAGGGTGACTCCTCAGGGACTCTCAAGACTGAGCAGCGGGAAGCCGCGGCCTGCCTTCCAGAGCCTGTGATTTCCGTGGTGCCTTCACTGGTGGCTTTCGGGGACCAGAGGCCCGCCTGGGGCCCGTGCAGGCCAGCCAGCAGCTTCCCAGGGCATTAGGTTTGGGATCCTAGTGGTTTTACGTGAGGAGGATCTTAACCGTTTCATTATTTAATGGTTCGTGTGAGTGTGATTGGGTGTATTTCTTTATGGGTCAGAATGCCAGTAATTTTTATCCTGAAGTCTTGCAAAGAATGAGGTTGTCATTCTTTACTGGGACACAACTCTGTTCCTGCTTCTCTGGAACGGGGTGGCCAGGTGAGGTGGTTCAGGTTGTGCACTACAAACCTGGCTGCAGGGTTGTGTCCAGCCACTGGGACATCTCCCCATGGTGAGGGCTCTCTTCTTCTAATTTGTGTAAAGGCCCGTATGAGCCAGTGGTGGCTCTCCTTTACGTGTCCACAGGGGTGTGGCAGAAGAGGCTAGTAGGTCGGGGAGGAGGGAAAGTGAGGGGAGTGATGTGTGGCTGGCCACTTTGTCCCTTGAGCCACCCTGGGTTCGGACTAACAAATGGTTTTCTCATTTCAAGGACCAACTCGAGTGATGGGTGGGAGCTGCTGGAGATCTGTGGAGAAGGACTGGAGTCCTTGCGGACAGTAACACTGGGAGTGGTTAGCGGTGTCTGCTGTGGGTGCTGACCCCGTGGGGGCAGGGGGACGAGAGCATGGGTGCAGACTCCACGGCGGGGAGCGATTGCCTCCGTCTTCCCAGCTGGTCTGGGAAATGGGATTAGAGGAAAGGAACTAGAAAAAGGAGCTTCTAAGATGTCCAGAAACCTCAGTGCTCTGGGGGCCATGTTTCAGGGGCCCAAGAACGTCGTAGTTTCTGATCTTGGAGTTGTTCTGAGATCTGGCTCCTTGACGTTGCTGCCCCTCAGGTTTGGGGGCTCTTTGGGCGCTGTGAGGACTCTCCCAGACCTGTCCCCTCTGCAGGCTGCCTTCTGGGAGAGCTGGTTTTGGGCGGGGGCACCTTGTGGAGCAGTGGGTTAGAAGTGTGCCCCCAGCCTGTCTTGGCAGAGCCCTGCTGGCCCTGGGGACGAGGGTGAGGCCCCTGGTCAGCTGCTGTGCGCACCTGTGGTGGGGTCATTCCTCTGCCCCTGCCCTGAGGTCTGAGCGCCATCTGGTGGCAGGATCTGGTTCACATTTAATGCAAGCTGGACCCCATGACCCTCAGGGGGAGCTCACGGCTTTCCCCGGGCCAGCTGGAGGCGGGGAGCCCAGCCTCACTGTCTGGGCCGCAGGCTTGGCCACCTGCAAGAGCTCGTTCCAGTGGGTGCTTGCCAGGTGGGATGTCACGTTCTCTGCCCTGCCTTGTGCAGGTCCCTGAAGGTCTGCCTTCCTGTTTCCTGGCTTGTGTGCAGAAAGTCCCCTCTGATCGTTACCGTCACGTGGCACCGAGTTCTGGATGACCCACGTTGGACTCTGGCATACCGTGCTGTTCTGAGGCTGACGCTGCCCTCAGGATGGGGTGACCGGTGCTGTGGCCATCGGGCTGGTGTTTTCTGACCACAAGCTGGTATCTCTGGGATGCTCTGGGTCAGGGGCACGGACTGTCCCATCTGTCAGTTTCAAATGGCATCGGCTGCCAGGCCTTTGTCCCCCTGAGAATCAGGGCTGACTTCACAGCTGAGCTGGAGCTCGGTTTTGGTTAAGGGGAGCAGGGCTGGTGGGGGTCTCCTGGTCTGCAGTGGTCCCGGTGCCCCCCCCATCCTGTTCCCAGCTTGGGTGCTGCACTGGGTAAAACCCATTTGAGAAAGGACATGTGCTTATGTGTCTCAGATGAGCCCTTGCAGCTCTGGTGGGGCTCGTGGTGTTTTTTGTGGCTGTGGGGGCTCGGGCCCACTGGCCCCTGGAGTCCCCCAGGGCCACGCAGGAGTCTGGGACACTTGGAGTGGTATCACTGCCCCGGGGAGGTGGGAGGAGGCAGGAGCAGGAGGCCCCTGTGCCCAGAGGAGCCCTGTGGCTCGGGTCAGGCTCTGAGGAGGGCCCTGTGTGTCCGCAGGCTGGGGAGCCCTGGGCTGGGTGTCAGCGAGAATTGCCATGGAGGCAGCTGGCCTGGTGGAGGGGGGCAGGCCCAGGGGGAGAAGGGCACGGGCTGGGGTGCCCGCTGGGGAGGGGCCATGGGTGGGGCAGGGTGGTGTGGGTGCCTGTGGGCTCAGAGCCGCACACACCAAATAGCAGGGCCTTAGCTCCTAAACATTGATGGCCCTGGAGTGTGGGCGACGTTGGACCTGGGTGGGCACCCAAGCCACAGCCTGCCTGGGAGGCCTGGGTCCTGCCCAGCAAGAACTTGCAGCCTCCACGTTTTGTGGGAGGGGCGGGTGGGTGTCTCACGTCCCACCTTCCCGGCTCAGGGCCATCAGCTGCCCCAGGACCCTGAAGGTGAGCTGCTTCCAGGTCCTGCACTGACCAGGAGGGCTGCGAAGCTCTCGTGCTGAGCTTCCCCGTGGAGGCCCCTGCCCTCTCTGGGGAGCTCTGGAAGGACACAGTTGCCATTTCTGGGGTGGGGGTGGAAGTGGCGGGCAGAGCAGGAGTTGTCTCCTGTTTAACAACAGCAGGGAGGGAGCTGAGACTGAGGAAAAAGTTGCAAGTAGAGCTTTCTTCCGGAGTCAGTGGAGGGGAAGCTGTGGTTCCGGTGCCTTTCACCCTCCCTGCTTCAGGGAGGGCCTCCCGCAGACGGACCGGGTCGCCGTGGGTTCCTGCCGGCCGGCGCTCACTGGGTTCATGGCCGTTCTGAGCCTCCAGTCCGGTCCTCGGGCCCCCAGGGTCGCCAGTAATCTTCCCAGACAGGTGACCTTGGCACTCGTGAAGGCTGCCCAGTGATTGTGTGGGAAGGTCCCCAGGCTGGGTTTACGCAAGGTGTCCTCATGCGCTTGATTCTGCGGTTTTTGCAGGAATAGCCCATAAGCGCGTCCCGGCGGGCGGTGTGAAATTTCCGTTTGCCCCGTGGCTGTGCCTTCCCTGTCACTTGGTGGCGGCAGCGGCTGCTGGGCTGCCCAGCCTCAAGCTGCTCCTTCCCCCTTTGTGAGGAAGGGGGTGCTTTGAAGCTCTGAGCGTCCACCGCCCCAGCTTCTCCTCGTTCCTCCTCCTCCCGCGTTCCTCTGTGCGCACCATGCTTCCTTCTGCTCGGTGGGTCGTGTGGAGGCTGTTGCTGGATTTTACTTCATGCCCAGATTCTCCCTCAGCCAGTGGGAACCACTTCTTCTGGCTTTCGTGTCCGTTTGCCGTCTTTGGAGCGTTGCTTTGCTTTGTGGCCTGAAAAGATGTTCCGGGCTCATGTTGCGTCTTCTCCGGCCCAGCTCCGGAAGCAGCGTTGCTCCAAGGGGCCCTGCTCCTTTCGGCAGGAATAGCGTCGAGGAACCAAGATGTGGGTGTGGGCTGTGCCTCCTGCTATTGGGGTATCGCTGTATGCAGGTTCTCTGGGTACGTGGAGCTAGGGGAAGTGTGAGTGCATCTGTCCGTGTGACTGTCTGTTCGTCTCTCTACCCATCTCTTGGTTCGTCTATCTGCCCAACTGTCCATATGTCCATCCGTCTTATGGTCCATCATCCATCCTTCCATCTATCCATCTGTCCATTGGTGTGTGTGTCCATCTGGCCATCCGTCCATCCATTCATTGGTCCATCCATCCATCCATCTGCATCCATTTGTCCATCCATCCAGCCATCCGTCCTTCTGTCCATCCATCCATGCATCGGTCCATTCATCTGTCCATCCGTCCATCCATCTGTCTGTCCGTCCATCCATCCATCCAGTCTATTAATAGCTATGAGATCACGCTAATACCTCCATTTTCAAACCAACACCACAGGGTGCGTCTGGTTTTCTCTCTGCAGGTTTGTAAGCCCTTTATTTCTGAATGGTTCCCGTCCATCTGTGCACTCACTTGATTGTTCTGTAAATACTCCTCTCCCATTGCCGCTGCCACCTCCTCCCCACAGAGACCCCCTCCTCGCCCCATGTGGGTGCCCTTCAGATGCCCTCCAACCACAGACCTGCAGGAAAGAGCTTTCTAGATGGAGATGGTACTGGCAGGCTTTTTAAAACTAGGAATAGTAAAATTAGAATCTGGCCAGCTCATTAAAACCAAGTAGGTTAAAAAAGTAAACATTAGAAGAAATATTTCTATTTTTTTAAAAGATTTTATTTACTTATTTGACAGATCACAAGTAGGCAGAGGCAGGCAGAGAGAGAGAGGGAAGCAGGCTCCCTGCTGAGCAGAGAGCCCAATTCGGGACTTGATTCTAGGACCCTGGGATGATGACCTGAGCTGAAGGCAGAGGCTTTAACCCACTGAGCCACCCAGGCACCCAATGTTTCTCTATATTCACAAATAACATGATTGTCCAAATAGAAAGGCTAAAATTATTGAACAGTAAGAATTCAGCAAAACAGCTTGCTGTAAGAGTAATACACTGAAATCGGCCGCTTTTCGAAACACGAGCAACAAACTCATAAGTCTCCTTTAAAAGATACCAAAAAAGGTACTATGGTACTATCTACCCGAGAGTAAAACCTTCGGGATCCTTAAAGATACACTGAACGTGGGATATTCAAGGTCTGCATACAGGAAACTGTAAAATGTCGTTCAAGTCCAGGGCTGTGGACTCTTGCGAGGGGCGCACGCTGGGTCTCGTTACCACCCGATCGCGGCTCTGCGGGCCCAGCTGTGCTGGTGCTCTTCACGGTGGGGCACGGGCTGTGCCCCACCTGGGTTCTCTGGGAAGAGCCCTTGCCTGTGCTCGTTAGGGTCGTCAGCCAGAGTCTGTTTCCGAGGCAAGAGGGCTGAGGCTGTAAGTAATAGCAGTTGGCGTGACCCCATTTCCTCGTTGGCTGTCCATGGAGGGTGGCTCTTAGGAATTGGAGGCTGCCTGCGTCCCCTGCCCCACAGCCTCCAAACCTCAGTCAACAACAGAGGACCTGCTGCGAGTCCAGTCTCTCCCCCTTCGCGCCTCTTCTCCAGGAAGAGCCCTGACCCCTTACACACTCACCAGATTAGGTCAGGCTCACCAGGGTGCTCTCCCTTCCTTGAAGTCAGTGGTGTCGCAGATCAGCACCCAACCCTAGGGGTGAGTCACGGGTCCACCCACACCCGACGGGAGGAGCATGTACAGGGGTGAGGGTCACGAAGGGGTCATCTCAGAATTCTGCTTACCGCAGCTGCCCTGTTCATGGCTGGAAAGCGTTGATATTGTC